TTCTCAACTGCACTGTGGGAGAGCCAGCAGTACAGATGTGCACAGCCCTGCATCCAACTCTACACAGTTCTCAACTGCACTGTGGGAGAGCCAGCAGTACAGATGTGCACAGCCCTGTATTCAACTTTACTGGCCTCTGAGGATTCAAACCCAGGTCCTTATGCTTTCAGGGCAAGCACTCTATCCACTCAGCCATCTCCCTTGCCCAGATAAATCTTCAAAAGATATGAATGACATCAACTAGACACCACTGAGCACTTTTGCACATTGAAGACATTACAGGTCATCAACGGCCTGTGTCACAATCACCTTTTTTTATATCATTTGAATTGTTAAACTCTCATCTCACAGTTCCCACAGAAAGAAGCCAAGGCTAAATCAGCTTAGAGTTGTAATTGGCCAGCCACTCCCCTAGGATGTGAGCATAGCTGCCTTCCTTGGAGTGCCATCACCTTACACAGAGCAGTCATCCTGCCCGTGGTTCACATCACTCCTGTCAGAGACCAAGTACAGCTACAACGGTCTCAACCACAGCAGCTTCAAAGTCGGCTCTGCTTCACAAAAGGAACTGAGACAACTGACAGACAGCCCTTGCTAAGTCTAGACCCTGTGATGGATACAGGACGGGGCGGGCCTGCTCTCCACCCGTCTCCTGCAGCAGTGGGAACCAAATGTACTGCCCCCTTACCTTGCGGGAGGGACATCAATATTGGAGGAAACCACTTTCCGCTTCTGCTCAAGAAGGCAAATGGAGCGAGTTTCCTTTTCTTGGTCAAGGATCCGACTGGCCTTTTTGGTGTCTGCTGTTCTCACATCTTCCTCCATGGCCAGTGGGAACAGGTGATGAGACAGCTTCTTACTGGAGTCACGTCTGAAGTCCTCTGATTGAAACGTGAAGGTCATCTCCCGCTTAAAACTCCCCACCTGCAAAGCACAACACAGGAACTCTTAACAGAGTCTTAGTTTCTTTCTGCAGGGCTCAAGTGAAGAAAGACTACTCACTCCTCCTGTTCACATTCTTATTGTTTAACTGGGGAAAACATAACATAGAAAGAAACAGCAGCATTGCAAAGCTAGTTCAAGGCCAGCCTGGTCTATGTGGATTATTCCAGGACAGCCACGGTTACGTAGAAAGAGCCTGTCTCAAAACAGCAGCAAAAATATCACCAACTCAAGAAATTTTTTTAAGACCTGAAAGCACTAGGCCTCTATACTTTCATATTTTAAAACCATTAGTATGCTTAATAGAAGACAGCTAATATACAAAGGCAAACTATTTTTGACTATTATTACTAACCTTAGAGTTAATGAATAAGGTATAAGACAAATATGAAGTCATAGCTCAGTGACGTAAATTTCATTATTTCCAATTCTGGAGACATCAGGGGAAAAGTAAAGAAAAACTTTAAACGGCAATTATCATTTACAAATCATCTCAGTAACAAATTAGCTTAAGTCTTGAGTACAGCAAGAAGGATCAGACTATCCAGTAATCTGGAATTTCGCCATTCAATGAAGCACACTTTAAAATAACCTTGCCAGGAAGATATTTCACAGACAAATAAACCAAGTGTTCTCTCTGTGAGTTCAGTGAGTGGTTACCAGTTTTTACTTGAAATACAAGCCTTGCTTGCTCATTTCTATCAAGTTTAGATAAAAATTTTAAATAAAAAAAAAAGAATTTAGTTAAAAATTTTTATTTATGGAATTGAAAGCCATGGGTTTCATAGAAAATAAAAATATGCTAATTCCCAGACCAAATGAAAAAAAAGAACTCAGCTAAATGTATACATGACAGTCTCAGGGCCTTTTCAGATAAGGTAATTTCCAGAACTCTTGGTAACACCAGAGCTCCAAGGGGCTCCATCCTCTCCTCAGCCTTCCCAGTGACAGAGACATGACTTGCATGGCAGATTCACACCCAGCTCCAGAGGACCAGTCCAGCCAGTTTTAGTCTACTTGCAACAAGTCACCACAGGTTTTTGAACGATTTAGTGAAGTTCAGCAAGGGGCCTTGAAAACTGAGTGTTGATTTACAGTTCTGAAGACATTTATTTTCATACAGCAGGAAACTGAGAGAATGACCACATTTCCAAAGGTGAGACACTCTCTAACATAATTATAGTTGAGAAAGTAAACAAATTACAAAGATTCTGAACGTCACTAATCAATACTCTACATGAAGGGTGACAGGAAGGTGCTATTTTCATTCTGTGAGGCCTGCTCCCAACTCGCAACAGGAGACTTCAGACTCCAGGCAACAAAACTGAAGCAGAGGCCTGAGTGTGGATGACTGTCAGTAGTGTCTCCTAAACGCCTAGTAAGTAGTACATGATTAAATATTAAAGAAGTCTGCAGTCAACAGTACTGAGCTGAAATAATAACTGACAATCACACCTCCTTGAGGCCGACTGGACTGTCTAAACGGCTCCCATCGAGATTTTAAAGCTGAAGACTGAAGAAATGCAGCTTTGGCCTCGCACACTTAGAGACAAATCTGAGGCAAATAAGTACAAGTAGGATGTTTGCTATGGAGATGATGTAATAACCATATGCTATGCTCTTGGTGAAGCACACACAGTAAAACAGGGTGATAACAGTCTGCAACATGAGCTCTGAATCTAAAATCTTAATTTTCTGAACAGAAACTCAACACTTGGTAGTAAACAGACATTTCAGCAATGGAACGAACTTCAGAGACAACTGAGTCCTCATTTTAAAATGACTAGAAATGATCAAAAGACCAAAAATAACCACAAAAGTGAGTAAGAGATGTTGAATCACTGATTGGAAGAGATGCTGTCACTCTCAGCTACTGCACACGAACACTGACTGGTCCTTCTGCTAAGTAAGAGAAGAGGCAAAAGGATGCATCCCATTCATGGGGTGCCCATGGGGTGCCCTGCAATGACTGGAGGATAACTGATAGCTGTGTGGGGCTCAGAGTGGGGCACTTGCTGACTGCAAGCGGGGTGAGGGACCGCCATGAGCTGCTGGGGATGCTCTACAACAGACCACACCAGCATCTGCTAGGTCGTAGATTTATGGAAGTCCACTGTACTCTCTCAATGGCGCCAATCTGACTTGAAGGGGCCACAGAGGAGAACACTCAAACCAGTAATGGCTCTGTTGTGCAGAGGATGCACCCAAGAACCAAGAACCCCTAGACCAGAAATTTGGAAATTGTGAGGCAAAGACGTAGTCATAAGTTTAATACAGGTATCTGTTATGCATATTTTAAAACATTGCTCCAGGCAGCGGCATGGTTGTGTCCTGCATTGGTAAAACAGGGCTAAAATTGAGTCCCCATTGAAACCACATCTCCAAGCTTCCTCGTCTGGGCAAGAAACCCATTTTTCTAGTTCATTCACCAAGAAAGGAACTTTTTGTTCTTCATCTGCTCAAAGGCACATTTCCCCATTGTGTTTTCTTAGCCCTAGTGATCCTGGAGAGCTGCAAGGTCTAGGCTGCTTCATTCTTTGAAGCTTGTGGATTTATGGTCAATGAGGTGACTCATAAATACAAGCGAGTATTCCCTCAATGGTACCATCTGAGAAATTACTCTTAATCTGAGAAATTGGCTCTTAATGGGCAAATATTTGACAGATAACAGCTAGAAACACCAGTAACAAAGAATGTGAGTGCAGAGAAACCAGCAGAAGCATCAATGGGGTGTGTGTGTCCATGTGCATATACATACATGAGTGTGCATGCTTGTGAATGTGTGTGTCCACATGCATGTGCCAAGGAAGGGTAGGCTAGACTCTCTTACATATCCAGCAGTGACCAAAATGGGTAGAAAGGACAGCTGCTTCCAGAAAGGGTCCTAATTAGCAGGAACCAGCTGTAGCCCCTCAAAACCATGTGCCTGTTTATCTTGCTGAGCCTAAGTATTTCCCAAGCCTGCTGGTTCTTCACCACTGCCATCTCTGAATGGATAACTATAGGAAATGCATTAACAATCACCAAGTAGCCTTAAATACTCATCCAGGAAAAGCTAAAGCTGTCAGAATTATGTTTTTTTTTTCCTTTTAGCATATGAAAAAGTGAAAGGCAAAGGAAGGTGTCACATGCTCTGACTGGCACGGGCCACAATCTGATTCGCTACACAGACTGATACACTGCTTGCAGCAGAAACGTGTGAGATGGGCAAGAACTTCCTTGGCAAGGCATCACTGATGTGTAACCAGAGTATTACCACAGTATCTGAGGGTGAGGGGAGAGACACACAGCTAGAGCAAGCTGGGACCCTGGGAGACAGGAAGTGTGGGGAAAGCCATGTAGATCTTTTAAAAGATTTATTTATTTCATATATATAGTTATACTGTCGCTGTCTTCAGACACAGCAGAAGACAGCATCGGCTGACCATTACAGTTGGTTGTGAGCCATCATGTGCTTGCTGGAAATTGAACTCGGGACCTCTGGAGGAGCAGTCAGTGCTCTTAACCGCTGAGCCATTGCTCTAGCCCATATATGTACTTCTTAAAGGAACAATAAATTACTTCAAATAATGAGTGCACTGGCACTGTGAGGCCCACTACCCACTAGCATCTGTTATCTGGTACCACAGAAGCCTCCTCCAGCCCCTCCTTCCTTAGACACAGAATTCCTTCATACACATCCACACACATTACCCAGGGTAATTTCTTGTAAGAGAACAAAGCTTCAATGTTCAATTATATGAAAATACTACCAATTACCAATTACCAACTGACAAATAAAACTCTGAATCCTTACCCCAGCGAGCAGCTTTTGTTGTTCTGAGGAAAATAATCAGCGCATGTATAATATAATGCATTTGGAGGAATCACAACTTTTTTTTAACAAAAAGTTCACAGCATCTGTTTACGTGTTGGATGCCTATAAGTGATGTCCTCAGGCTGGCACTGGAGCACATCAGTCTTCCCTGATTAAAAAAAAATCATCTGGATTCTGGAGAAATGATACCCGCACACATCGCCAGTGAGGACGCTGCCAACAATGCCTGCATCCGTGACCCACCTACTCTGAGACATGGTCCCTCCCGAATTTATAGAGCTGAGATGCCAAGAAGTATGTGTCAACACTGACTTGAAATGATATTACTCACCCACCCAGTCAGATGGGAGGCGCTGGGTCCAGAGCAACTGCATTTCCAGGAATAATCTGTAGAAAGCTAGTTGCCTCCTAAGGCTTTCTGAATAACAAGAAGTATTACAGAAATTCTGAGGCATGGCATGCAATTTAAGCCACAAGAAAAAACACAGCTGGGGACCAGGGAATGAAGGCACCTGAATGGGTTCCCTAGCAACCCTTTAGGTCCTTGCCTTCCTCCAGAAAGCCACAAGGACTCCTGGAAAACTTCTTACAGAGTGCTCTTCCTATCTCTGATTACAGGTTACACATTTGTATTTATTTCTAGAACTTTCTTTCCTAACATACACAGTTTGCATGTTTGGTGTCTAAAGATGATATGTCTATCATACATCGTGTGACAGCCGTAATCAGTCTGAAGATTTAAAAATGTGTCACAAATGGCTTCCACTAACAATAGGAACAATGAAGTCTGTTGCTTTAAAAATTTTACTGCCAGGCCAGTGAGATGGCTCAGCAGTTAAGAGCACTTAACTCCTTCTGCAGTGGACCTGGGTTTAGTGCCCCATGCCAGCATGGAAGCTAACAACTGTCTTTAACTCCACTTCCTCCTTCTGTTCTTTACAGGCACCAGACATTCATCATACAACATTCAAGCAAAACACTCATACACATAATTAATAATAGTAATAATAGTAGCACACATAAGAATGAAAATACATAAGACTCTAAGATTTATCAGTCTTGAAAGAATGGATAAAAGTTACCTCTAAAAAAATGGTTAATGGACTTATAGTCTGTTAAACTCTTTAAATTTTATGCTGCATACACAGAAAATCAGTCAGATGGCAAA